TGAAGTCAATGCCTTAGTACCTCATATCTTGGTTAGGTTTAATTTAATTGTTATTTTCCTTTTATTAATTTTTTAGTTAAACTTTCTTCCCATTTTGTTGTTCAAATAAATTTAGATTAATTATTTTGGTACTTAGTTAGACACAATCCTCATGGGTTCGACACTCTTCTCATCATTATATTACTTGAAGCGACTAGTACACTTGTTAGGGTGATTTTAGTGCATCAAGTTTTTGGCGCCGTTGCCGGGGATTGTTGATTTAATTAATATCAGAGTTGGTTAATTCTATATTTAATTTGAATGTTTTCTTTTCTTTTATTTCTTTACTTTGATTTTTTTTTTTTCTGTTTTCTTTGTTTTTGTTTTTGCAAGTCTAACTATGAATCGAGTTGCCATAGGTACTTATGTGAGTTATCATTGGCTTGCGCCAGAGATAAGAGCACAAGTTGAAGCAATAACTATCAATTGGGATGCAGAACTTGACAATGATGAACTTGAACGAATTCAAGCAGCCATTAAAAGGATCAAATTAAGGAAGGCTCGAATAGAACGATCAAATATCACTTGTGAATGGTGTGGATTAGACCATTTTAGTTCTGATTGCTTATTTAAACAATCTAACAAGTGTGTTGATTTTTCTTGTGAGTTTTATAGTTAGCAGTATAATTCTTATCCCAATACATGCCATTTTGATCGAAACACCTCATGGAATAATGAAGATATATTGGAGCCACAATCAGGGTTTCAAGCTTTAGAAGAGGAGACATGTTTGAATAAAAATCTAGAGGTTCAATCAAGTCATTTGCTCAACTTAGTTGCTGAAGAAATACAAGGTGAGTTACCTAGTGCAACAATGAAAAATCAAGAAGAAGAGGTAAACACTTTACTCTTGGAGATTGAAGGACAACTTGAAGAAGTAGAAATTATGCTTGCAGAAACTAAACAAGAGGATGTCCCTAAGGAGGAAGAGGAAAAAGCTCAAGTATCATTTGAAGTGTTCAATGGGGAGTCTCCTTTAACCAAATCTAATTTTAATGATTATTTTGTTATTGATATGATTGATGAGATTTTACAGAAAAACACTTATGAGGATCCATTTGAGATTTACTTTATTCAAGCAAAGGACCCAATCAAAGAATACATAAATTGCTTGAACACATCATCTTCCTTGGAATCCAAGGGGGCACTCCTAGAAGAATTGGGAAGGCACATCTGCTGGCCTAAACCCAAACCACCTTAGAATGGTCATTGGAAAAAATCTTATGGTGGATTCACCTTAAGGGCAAGAAAGCCAAGATTTAAGAAACTGAGAGGACATGCCCTACGACCTGATCCAAAACCACCTTGGAGTGGTAGAAAGTCTAGCTAATGACTATAAATTCAGCGCTTCTTGGGAGGCAACCCAAGCATAAAATTTTCTTTTCTTTTATTTTTCTTTTATAGTTCAGATTTTCTTTTAATTTTTTCTTTTTCTCTTTGTGGCCTAGGTTAATGCATAAATTGTTGTTCTTTGATTTTGGCCAGGTCATTGAACAAGTGTGGGGGACAAGATTATGGAAATTCACATGCTAGAAGTCTCCTCTAAATGAAGACAACTCAACTTCAAAACTTCAATTTTAAGTCTTCAAGTGTAAAACCTGGGAAGTTTCACTTTTCTCTTACTTTTATTTTACATTGAAGACAATGTTTGATTTAAGTTTGGGGGAGAGATACACTTTTAGGCATCCATTAGCTTGCATTCATATTTGTATAACATACATTTTTTTAGAAATTAGGATTTTTTTTTTTTAGGAATTGGTCCAATTAGTGTCAAGGAATTGAATATTCTTGAGTTAGAGCTTTTAAAAATCTTTTAATCTTAGAGGAGATACAAATCTGAAAAATAACACCATTGTGATGAAGTTTAAGTTCATGAGTATTATATTCTATTTAAGCACAA